GAAAAGAAAAAAAGAAAAGAAAAGGAAAGGAAAGGAAAGGAAAGGAAAGAAAAGAAAAGAAAAGAAAAGAAAAGGAAAGGAAAGGAAAGAAAAGAAAAGAAAAGAAAAGAAAAGAAGAAAGAACAAAAAGCCAACAAAACCAAGTTATTTCAGCAAAACCCCAAATTGCTTTGGTTAACCTAAATTCTAGTTGGGGTAAGTATTCTTCATTCTTTCAGTAAAGAGCCAAGGCCAGGGGTGGGAAAACTACTGCCCACACAGAAAAGTAAGCAAGCAGTGGCATAAGCTCTGCTCACGAGACCTTCTGTCGCTCTGAGGCCCTCAGTGTGGCCTCACTAACAAGTCTCTAATAAGCACACCATTCCTCAAGTTTCATCCAGTGAAAGGAGAAATTTCGGTAAATATTTAATTTTATCAGTGTTTTTCTTTATTTCTCCCCTGCTTTCAACATATCTTGCCCACATCAACCTGACTGAAAAAAATCTTAATTTCAGGTCGATATGATTATGTCTTAGACATCTATCACAGCTACAGAAGGGTGAATTTTACAAGTAACTGTTATTTTTCTATGAGAAATTTCAATTTATCTGACTTTAATAAAAAATATATGCTCACTGAAGTTAAGATTCAATCATTACAAGAGCTGTTGGAATGAAAGCAATTGTGAACCTTACATCTTTAAAACACAAAATGTTCAGCTGAGACATAGACACTCCTTAGCATATGTTACCAACCCACTACACTTAGTTGTATTTAATACCTTAGTACATTGGCCTGCTTCAGATCAAGTGCCTCAACAACTTCTCAGACTAACTTGCTGTAATAAAAAGATGATGGATTATCTTAAATTTGGCAAATCATTTCCACATCCTGGGTGCTTAAACAATGCCAATGCCAATAAATAACTAGGAAGGACCTGTGAAATGTAGCTGCGTTCTTGGTACACCAGCATCTTACCTCCTACTGCAGGACTCTTCCTACAAAAGGAAATGTCCTGTTGAAAGCAGAAGGTGGTAGAATTCCTCTCTATCCCTCTCCTCCCTAACCAAATTACCCGAATGCATCAGCTGTCTGCTGTGCCGTCATCTCTACCTCAAGGCAAGCAGAGAGAATCCCGTCAGCTGCACTCCAGGCACCTCTGCCTGAGTCTCCTTTTCAGCTGTAGCAAGGGCAGTGAGGGAAGTGCCCCCACAGTGCTTGGGTCTACCGTCACCTTGGGCAATGGAGAAATCCCACTGTCAGCCCAATCTCCCATTAACATACTTCACTGCCTTCAGCACTTCTCTCATCTAGACAACCTGAAACCACCCACAGGTGGCATACAAATGACCCAGGTGGCATACAAATGACCCACAGGTAGCATACAAATGACCGTTTGACTAGAAAACACAACAAGCATACCAAATGGAACGTCCAGAGGTGGAATCAGAAAATCAAAACAAAAGCCAACAAGAGGATTACAAAGGCTATAAAAGACCAGAATTTCTTGAAACAAACACGATTTTCTTGGTAACTGCTCTAAAACTTAAACTGAGAATACAAGTTAAATTAATAAATATTGTTTTATTGGCATCCAAGTTTTCAAAAACAACTGCATCCTAATTGATAAAAAAAAAAAAGACCCATGAAAAAACAGAAATAAACCTTAAAGGAAATCTCTTAAGTAAATCTTTCAAAGACATTTTCTTAGACATGCTCACTATTTCTCTAATAAGAGCTGCCCTACAAATACCTTTTTCTGTACTTTATAAAAAGTACTCAGCTGAAATCTATTTTAACAACCAGGGTTGCTAAACATTTAAGAACATGTGTTTGCTTAATATTTGGACACTAAACAAACATAATCAAATTAAAATGCAGAAAGCAAAAATAAGACAATAGCAAAGTTAAAACATCAAACCAGTTTTTGCAAAGTTAAAGGAAAAAAACACATTTATGGATATGACAAAAGCACTATAGGGAAGAAGGCCAGTGGACACACTTCCCACAGGTATAAAGAATCATGTTACTTACCAACCATTGCACTAACTTCCCCAGCCATTAGTGTTTCCACTGTCTCGTTGTAGAGGTTCACATCAATGATACCTTTTCGAATGGTCTCTCCGACTTTGGCTCCCAATAACACTGAGCCCGTGGTTTCAAATATTGAAGCCAAAATGCACGCCTGCTTCAAGGTCACTACACCGGAGCCCACAGCAGTACCGAATGAATTGGCAACATCATTTGCACCAACAGAAAATGCCAATATAAAAGCTATGATAAAACCTAAAATGACCATCCACAAATACCCATCCACGGCCATTTTGGAAAGTGGGCTCTGGGTACTTTTCTTTGCAGAAATATTTTAAATAAACGAAGCTTGAGGTTATAAATGTCGTAAGGCCGAGAGTTCTTGTAAACAGTGAGTTTGCTCTGGAAAGTGCTGGACAATGTTAGAGCCTGAACAAACTGCTAACTGCTGGTTTTCAAACTACTGTCAGTACAGTTCATTTGGTTGTGTTCAGTCAGCGGTAAAACACATTCCATATTTTTCCTCCCAATCTGGGAGAGCTGTGATGTCTCCTCCTGTAACAGAAAGAAAACAAAAGAAATCAATTACCCTAAGCAACCTGTAACAGTTTGTTCTTTCATAAATAAATGTTTTAAGCCTACTAATGGGATCTAACTTTGGCATGTGACAGATCTAACCATAGAGCAACTCAAGGCAGATTATAATTAGGTTAACTAACTCTCCCCTCCAAAAATAGCTTATTTCTAGAATGTCAGGGGTTGAAGCATGCTTTATAATTACAAAACTGATAGTAAGCCTTAATGGGATAAGTTTTTATACAGTCTGGAAAACATATTTGGTCATTCTTTTCAGAAAAGAAAATTCTCTCAAATGAACAAAAGATAAAGAAATGAGAACTTATCAGTCTTGGCTGGGTAGCTCAATTGGTTAGAGCATCATCCTGATATGTCAAGGTTGTGAGTTTGATCCTTGGTCAGGGCACATACAAGAAGCAACCAATGAATGCATAGATGAGTGGAATAGCAAATCAATGTTTTTTTTCTCTCTCTTTCTCCCTTCCTCTCTCTAAAATCAATCAACCAGTCAATAATTTTTTGAAAAATTCAATTATAAATTTTTTCAAGTGTGTGAAATATGTAAAATTTTTTGGAAGAGTGATTACCAAATCTGAATCTGTGACACCACAGGGTGTGACTGACTATCTGCCTACACATTTATGCATAAGGAGTGCGGACTTTGCATTATGACTGCATCATGCGTGTCTGAAAGGAAGTTTCCAGGTTCTGGTACAGAGTCATCCGGAAGGTGACACAGAAGGAACAGAGAAAGCTGGTGAACGAAGGCATCCTATGAAAGCACAAGCCAGGGCATGTACTATTCCACTACTTCCCATTTACTTGGAGGAAAAGCCAGAGGCCTTGCCATGGCCTGGAAGACTCTCTAAAACTCCTCAGGGCTCTACCCCCAGCTCACTGACCTCAGCTCGTGTTCACCCTCTTCCCTCACTGGCTCCTTGCAAACATCAAGCACTCACCTCAGGGCCTTTGTACCTGCTGACCCTCTGCCAGGAAAAATCTCCCTGACAGCTGCACAGCTCACCCTGCATGCTATTTAGGTCTCTGCTCAAATGTCACCATTCAAGAGCCTTCCCTGACCTTCCAAAAGAGCAGCCCCTCCTCCACACCATTAGCCATCTCTCTCACCTAACTTTTTTTCTCTTCTACTTATCTATTCATTCATGCATGCATTCACTCATTGTCTGACTTCTCTCACCAGGATGCAGACACTTTGTTGGATTCACTACTGTATCTCCAGTACATAGAATAGCGCCTGGCACACAGTAAGCCATAACAAATTTGTTGAATAAATGAAGAAAGAAGTAATTAAACAAATGGAGAAAAGTATTGCATAGTCCTCATTCTGAGATGAAGAGATGTCACAAAATCAATATATCTGTCAAGTAAAAATGTCACTAAAAGCTTCGGAATTATAATATTCTATTATTATAGAGTATAAAATCTGTGTATTTTCTTTGATGGCAGTAGGCACATAGGAAGGTGACTGGCACAGTGTAATCCTTCATAAATGCTTGTTGAATTGAATAAATTAGGCTCGTACATAATAGAATGATCAATGAACATCAAGGTTATGTAGGGGAATAAAAGCAGGACACAAAACGTTATGTACACTGTGATTATGGCAACGTTAAAAATGCATATAAAAAGACCAACAGGTAATATTAAAACAATAGTTGAGTTTGAATGGTAGTGTTACAGATGATTTTTTCCCTTTTCTCCAAATATAGTTATGTGCTTTTCAAATTAAAAGAATATATAATAAACAAAATAAACATAGATTGAGCATCACCTCTGTATACAATGCTACAGGCAGACAGTGAAATGGAATGTGTGCACTATAGATCTGATTGCTTTCAAAGATCTGTAGCCTCTGCAATTCTGAAGAGTCAGATCCCAAGTCAGACAAACGCAGACCACTCTGAAGGCAGAAGACAATATTCCACTGAAAGAGCATTTTATTAATATTATGGGCACAATAAATCTATAAATGAAAATACAAAATGAAAACTATTTTGGACCAACAGTATCTACCCTAAAATATAAAGAATTCCTGAGGAAATTTTGTTCGCCAAGTTAGGATGTCAACAAGGCAAATAAGAACCACATTCAACAAAAATTTACTGAGAATTTGTGATAGTCAGTAGGAATATAATGATGAGCAAGAATGGATGTGGTTCTGGCACATATGGGGCTTACAGTCCAGTGAGGGAAATAGACACTAATCATATAAACTCAATGCATGACTAGAAACTGGTAAGTACTACAAGGGAAGGAGGCACATGTCACACAGCAACATGAGAGCATAGCTGTGGGCAGGAAAGGTTCACCTGCAATCTAAGGATGGGGGAGTTAGCTCTGGGACTGCATGGGGCATTGCAGCCACTTCCCAGGTGGGAAGGAGCAGAAAGAGGAGAGGAGTCTGAAGGCAGGCCGGTGTGAGGAAAACACGATGAAAGCTGGGGTGGGCCATATGGAAGCCTGTGAGAACAATGGGGTGATGCTGAAGGGTTTTTAATCAGAGGGATGCTGTCCTGATCAGACTTTCATTTCTAAAAGATTACTCTGGCTGGGACATGGAAAATGAATTGGCTAGAAGGTGAGAGTAAATGTGGAGAGACTAATTACGAGGCTACAGCATGGTTTAGGCACAAGGGAGGCCTTCTGGACCCAGGGTGGTGGTGGTGATGATTTAAGAAGGTACTTCAGCAGCTAAAGTCAACAGGACTTGGTGATGGTTTACATACGGGTGTTGAGAGGGGATAGATGGTTATTGACGTGTGGAACTGGACTGAAAAATAACTGAGTGGGTGTTTATCCCTTTTGCATTGTTTTTAGGTGTCAGGATGGGGTTGACCACAGGTTCACTTCAGACATGTTACACATAGACGTAAATCGCAGGCACACAGAAGAGAAGTGTGGTCAGTTGAGGCACCACAGCAGGTGTGTTCTCAGTCCAGTTTTGCTTGGGGAAGGTTTTAATCATCTTTATGATTTTTGTGGCACCATTTCAGACCAGGGATCCCCTCTCTTACACAGATCATCTAAATAACTCATTTCCATATCTGTATTCTTCAATTTGGCTTTTCTCCTTCACAGTCATACCCTCAGTAACCAGCTCAAGTCCAATAAGCACCTGGCTGAGGAAAAAGGCTTGTCACTTTTTTGAGACTGAAATGATTTCTACCTTGCATTGTATTTAGAAGGCCTGCTTTGTGTTGCAAGTACAAGCACCTTGATTTTCTCCCCTTTCCATTGTCAAACACAAGCAAAATAAAACAAAGCACTTAAATAACTACAAATCTGCTGCATAAAAAAAGACGGCAAGACTGCCGACACTGAGCTGGCCAGCAGACCACCATTCAGGAGGCCAGGATAGTAATTTGCCAGGACTGTGGATAGCCCACATTCACAGTGGCTGAGGTCTGAGGTCTGACCAGGTGTGGCATCTGATAGTGCTGGTTGTTTGAAAGTAGAATTTTGAAGGTGGGTGATCAAATCAGTAGGGAAAGATTAGCCTTATTCAAGACATGATGCTGGGATAACTTGCTAACTGCTATCTGAAAGGAATAGAAAAAAGCTAGATCCCTACCTCACACCGAAGCAAATGAAAGATTAAGATGTAAAGATTGAAACCTGAAGAGCTTGAAAAATTGAAAGCTTCCTAACTCTCTCCTTCCCCTGATGTGAAAGCCCTACAAGGGTGGAATTCACAGGACTGAAGGTTACAAGTTATTTTTCAATTTTCAAATGCCACCAACCTCTTGCATTTTAGGAAGAGGGACCTTAGAGTGTTTTGATTTATTATAGGAGGTACTGAGGGTTTTGTTAAGTTCTGTCTCCCAAACTTGTAATGTTCACAAGAGCTTCACTTCCTTTTCTCAGGACCCTCATGCCCTCTGAACAAGCTTCTCAACTTTTGGTTCCACCAGCCGTCGCTTCTGTTCCTCGATCTCTGAACCAACTCTGCTTCTCTCATCAGCCTAAGGAGTGCCCTGTCAGGACTCTCAGGTGTTTATGGATTCTTTTCCTATAACTTCCTCTGTGAGCATCTGCTTCAACTCTAGCTTCTTATCAACATTAGGAATCTGAATGTTCAAGTGAAAACAAACATTCTCAGAATATTTCTAGACAGATATGTATATGGCTTAAAATGGAATGCTGCTGAGTTGTAACACTTAATGGAAATTTATGCCAGAAGAAGTTTGGGTGGGAGAATCTCTTCTCTTGAATGCTGCCAAAGGTAACACCCAAGGTGACCTCTCCAAGCAAATATACTAAGGAGATGTCTGTTCAGTTCTCCCATTAGCAGCCCCTCCTCTCAGCCTCAGATTCTAATCATCTCCTCAATTGGCACAACCAGTCCCAGACAACCAGGTCTGTAGTGAATTGTGGCTTAGGTTCCTGGGGGACTTGACGTTTTAAAAAACTGGCCCAGCCCTGACCAGGTAGCTCAGTTGGTTATAGCATCGTCCCAATATGCAAGGTTGTGGGTTCGATCCCCAGTCAGGGCACATACGAGAATCAACAATGAATGCATAAATAAGTGCGATAACAAATCGATATTTTTCTATCTCTCCCTTCCCCTCCCCCAAGATCAATAAAAAAAAAAACAACCTTAAAAAAATAAATAAATAAAGGATTGACCCATGGCCAGCCTCCTTTCCATGTGCTTCTGGCCTACGGGGATCTGTTCCCTGATATTTCATGGACTGCCTCCAGATCAAGCCCACTCCCACACAGGAAGGGAAGGAGCCAGGACCCCCCGCAGCAGACCTGGTGCTCAGAAATAATTTTCCAATTCCTCTCCTAAAACCCTCTAACATTGTTAAAGGGTGGCCTACACCCACCCTCTAACAATGTAAAACCCACTTTCATGGAAGCTAGGGTTGAACCGTGCATTCTGACAATTAGGTAAAAATATGAAGACACAGATATCTTTTCAATGGTACAATATAAAATCAGGTAACTCTGCTACA